GTCCCTCTGGTAAACCAATACGGCAAAACTGTGTTTATCAAAGCTTACGGGATAGAAAGAATCGCATCAGACATCCAAGCTGTCAATCTTGATGGTGTTGTTCATTTGTTCAAGGGCGTTAGTGCCGAAGAAGTCGCAAGACCGACTGGACCAGTCGACCTACTGATTGGCTACGAGTATGCAGGGTTTCATCCGCAGCTAGAAAGAAGAAACGGACATCTTCTGCTACTGAAAAACCAGTTTGGAAAATGCATTGGTGGCAAACACCCAAGCATCAAAGAAACTCACCAAACCAGTGCGTTGACTAGTGCCCGAGCCTATCATGTCAATGCCATTAATGTTGAGGACATCTACAACATTGAAGGTTTGGGGGTAGCTTGTTCACCATGCTGTGGAGGTTGTAAATGTGGAAAGTGTCCAAAGGGAAGCAATGATTACACCCTCAAAGAAGAGAGAGAACTGAAGCTGATCGAAAGCAAATTGACGTTTGACGACGAAGAGAAGAAATGGACCGCAGAATACCAGTGGATAAGAAATCCGCAAGAATTACCTGACAACAGAAGGGCAGCAATGAGAGATGCGAATGAAGAAGAGCTAAATAGTGAAATTGAACAAAACAATGAAATAACAAGTGATGTTGAAGAAAGACAAGTGGACGAGGAAAGACCACACGTTGGTCAAGCACATGAAAGTCATGAATCAAGAGAAGTGGAGGAAACACAGAGACTTGTTAAAGTGAACGGTGAAGGGAGTCGATCAAGTGAGAGAAACGAAATACGGAGAAGACAAGCAAAGAGAGTTGTTGAACCGAGCAACACTACGAGACAAATAGTTACGCAAGCTGGTGAGAAGAGGAAAGGCAGTCCTGATGTACAACTTCTTGGTAGAAAGAGAAAAGACACCGATGGACGGAACGAACAAAAGAATGTTGTTGATAAAAAAGAAACTGCAGCGAGAGATGTTATTGCAAGGCAGGACATTGACACAAGGAAGAATGATGTGAGGGTACAAAACAAGCGCAGAGTTGTTCGGGCAGTCGGTGACACAAACCTCATTGCGGAACGCAACATCGGTGCAACGAGTGATTTTCTTATTACGAAAGTCATCAGAGCAAAGAATGATGGTGGTGCAAGAAATGATGAAAAGGCGAAGGAAAGTTCTGGCACCAGAATGAGCGCTGAGCAGAGAAATGAGGGTGATATGACCAGCAACACAACAGAGATCACAAGGAAAGATGTTGCCGCCCACAATAATAGTGACTCTAAGGAAGATGCTGGCAGTGTACTCAGTGGCGAAGAAAGTGACAACAGTAACACCACACATGTTCACATAAGGAATGGCGACTTGCGAAATTCTGATGCAAGAGAGAGTCAGAAAGGTGGTGGAAAAACCTTGACGGACACATCAAGAAACAATGAAGCCTCGAGCAAGGCAATTCGTAAGAGTTTGGAAAACTATTCATTTTCCCCGTGTGTGATAAAGGACACGCCAGTAGAAATGGTTTAAAACATCATTATAAGACACATCAGAATGGCAATGAGAACAAAACGTATTTGTATTATTGCCATGAATGTAAGGAAGGTTTTGAGACGAAGAGAAAGTTCTGGTTGCATGATGTGAAAGTTCGTGGACTTATTGAAACGTCGTCGGATGAAAGTGATTCAGAAATGGTTGCAGGGCATGAAGAGAGAGTTGGCAGCACGCGGCTAAGCATGACAGACACAAGAACTGATGTAAGGAGTGGTAGAGATGTAAGAGGTGCTAGGATGGACTGGAGACTTGGTAGGGTCCCAAAATTCAAGTCTGGAAACGATGGAAAGGTTAGGAACGTCAAAGTTCAGTACAAGAATCCAAAGAGTGGAGAACCCATCAATAAATATGGTGGTCAAGATTATGTCACAGTTGAACGAGCCATTCACCGATTAGTGGTAATTCTGCCTGCTGATCATGATGATAAGTGATGAAGAAAAGACAAGAAAGTTAGGGACACAAACTTGCAAAAACACTCTTATAGTCTTATTCTGTTGAGTTACGTTTGTTCTGATAGAACATTGTATAACACTGAGAACTTGTTAGCGTTATTAGAAGGTGGCAGTGTTTCGTTTAGTACGAAAGTAGCGAACGACTTTTGAGCGATGAGAAACGAGATCACGAAGTTCACGGAAACGACTTTTGGGTGATGGAAAATATAAGGATATTTTGGACGCCATGTTTGATCGAGTGTTTATATAACTTTTAGAAAGTGATTTTAGAGGCGATATTCAAGAATTTGTAGCCGTTAATTTGCGAGGAGACCACCGGGTAATTTATTGCATGTGACTTTACGTTTATCGGCATTATTTTTGTATTTTATATGTCTTTTTTATTGTAAAAGTATGTGTAATTTTGTATTGTTTAGATTTCGAAACTATTAAATGTACGTTGTTTGTTTCTGAAATGGCGGTTGAAAACGAAGAAAGCGGCTAACAAAACAGTATTGTATTGTATTGTATTGTATTGTATTGTATTGTATTGTATTGTATTGTATTGTATTGTATTGTATTGTATTGTATTGTATTGTATTGTATTGTTCCTGCATGTTATAGTTTTGTGTATTGTAATATGGCGAAACTAATAAATAAATAAATAAATAAATAAATAAATAAATAAATAAAATAAAAATAATATTGTATTCGCATTACGCGCGGGAAAAATACTGACCATTTTTGAGCCGAAATTAAAGTTGTTATTTTACAAATATATAGTAATACGTACTATTTAAAGCACGCGTAGGAGTGTTTTATTAGCTATAAAACGCGAGGCGCAGCCGAGCGTTTTATATCTGATAAAACACGACTATATACAGGTGCTTTAAATGGCTTAAAAAAGACTCATCTTATATGAGTTCATTGGCGAAGTAATTTTTAAAATAAACTTTGTCTAAACCAAGAAAATCAAAGCTAAAGTTTTTGTAAGTTAACACGATTTTTTATCACATATAAAGATACGAGACGCTCAGACGCTATGATTTTTCTTTGTGTTTTCCTCCTGAATTATTAATGATTTTTAAAAAATATATACAAAATTTGCGAACTTCACAGGGCTATATTTTCTTCAATCTACAACCTTTAGCAACCAATCTTCGCTGTTTTACTCATTTTAAGACGCTCTTTCTAGCTGTGGTGTTGGATTTCGTTCTTCTTGCTTTGATCAAAATTTCGTCTATAGCAGGAATCACCCATTAGGAAAGTCTGAATTAAACTTTTTCACTTTTGTGCGGGTTAACAATGCCGCTCCCGTGTATTTGGTTTCCCAATTTTCAAAAAGTCCAAAAAGGGACGAAGTGCTTGATCACGATGTGCGTCAGTGGTAGTTTTAACTTAATGTAACTATCCCAAAATTAAACCAAACACTACTGAATTTTATGAAAAGCAGCCTTGCTTATATGTAGTGGAGCCGTTGTCTGGAATTCTGTTGATGAGGCGACTAATTTAACATTTGATAGCTTCAGCATAAGTGCCTTTAAGAATATAATAAACTCAAATATGTAATTATATAACTTTAACTATATGTGTGTAAAGATTTCCATATGTTAGTATTCGTAAACCACCGTTTTTATCCTTTATATATAATAATAATAAGAGGATATAGATAGTTGTTGTTAGACAAATTGAGGATATAGACAGATAAAGTTGCAACTTTTTTCCAATCTGGTCCTCCTAAACTCTATAGACACAACAATAACATTAAACATGACTATATTCAGCACTTCCTAGGAGTACTGATGAACAAATGAAATCACTGGGTATAATGTAAAGTCATATTTCAGAACTGTTGTAAATATTTATTGTGCATGTACACGGCTCTCAGGAAGAGCATTTCGTAATGATGAGACACCGTGTTTTTAAATAAAGTTCACTAACTAACTAACCACAAAGGCCAATACGGATGAAAGAAAATCAATTTTCATTCACTTGATCACAAAGTAGGATATTTTCTTTTGCATTTTAGCCGACGAGTGAGTAATTTTGACGACTTCGTAATTTGTATAAATGGTCTCGCATTCTGGCATTCTTCATGTATTTTGGGGGGCAAGCCCCCCCCCCCCCTTTTACTCTGGGGGTGGGGCTAAAGCCCCCCTAGCCCCCTCTGTTCCGCCGCCACTGCTATTGTCTGTAGCGTGTGTGTGTGTGTGTGTGTGTGGGGGGTCTCAGTCTCCAATGGATTGACATAGAAAAGACACAAAACAGCACACGCATTCATGATTGTATGTGTGCACCGTAACGCATGTACAATATTTCACGGTCACTAGGCTGGGGTCAAGCAGAAAAACTATTTTGGCTTCAGCGATTTTCAGCGATTACGGCGAATCCATTCTCGTACCCAGAGCCCTTCTTACCCGCGGTGCGACGAGAGGCTCTGGCCAAATCCATATTCCGAACTGGCATCTGATTGGCTAGTTCTAACACCAGACATTGTTTTCTTACCATGTTTTTATGCAGCCTAGATCTAGGCCTTCTAGTCTTATTTATATTTTTTAGTATTCAGCGGTGTTTCACATGAAAAGACTGGGACTAGGTGATTTGGGGGCGGGGCGGAGAGTCTTATTTATATTTTTTAGTATTCAGCGGTGTTTCACATGAAAAGACTGGGACTAGGTGATTTGGGGGCGGGGCGGAGGAAGGGAAAAAGCGCTGAATATTAAAAAAATATAAATAAAAATAGAAGGCCTAGGTCTAGGCTGGTTTTTATGGTATCCGGTTATGGATTTGGCCAGGGCAATTGCTAGTTTTTATTTCCGTTTTTATATCAATTTTTAAAATAAGTTAGGGTTAGGTTAGGGTTTAGGTTAGGGTTAGGTTAAGGTTAGGGTAAGGGTTAGTATTAGGGTTAGGGTTTAGTTTTGTGTTAGGATAGTTTTTTCTACGTTATAAAAACGAAAACCTTATTTTGAAGTATACTATCTAGCGATCACCATTTGGCCAGAACCCCTCGTCGCACCGCGCGTAAGAAGGGGACTGTATAGACCGCAACCATTAGCAGTTTCTATGGCAACAATGTTAGCATTCTATTGAGCAGGCGAGGCTACCAAGCAACAAGAAGAACGAACAACGAGTCAAAAAGAAAATGAACAACAAGTATAAAATCAATTTTGAAGAGTTTTTGCGATTCTTTGTTCGTCACTTAACTAGATCAATGGAGGATTGATTATTTGTTAGGATATCGATGTAATAGTGGACAAAACATGCTGAAGGTTTTAATATACGACGACAGTTCAAACATTGAAGATGGAAGTTTATTTTGACAACACCACCGCATTCTCGGAGCTCAGCATAAACAATGCACCACAGCTTCGCTGTAATGGAGGCAAATTTACGACATGCGGCAAATGCGAAGCGTGCGAGCTTAGTAGCCAACTGCTTTACACGAAAGAGTGGTTTCTACGATGCTCTGAACAGACCCAACGTCAATTTGTTTTGGGGCTTGTACACCGTTATAATTCAATTGACCTCCACGAGTACACGAACGCCTTGCTAATAACTTTAGAGGGGAAAGATTTTTTGTATGCAAGGTGTAGAAATAGGCCGAGTCTGAAGGAAGATATGTCAGGATCTGCCTCAAACCACGCTCTCAGTAAAGTACAATTAAGAAGAGATATTTTAGATTGTTTAAATTGGTTCGAATCTAGCCCCTACTGGACGAAGTGTAATTTTATGTTAGGTCTAATGCAGTCATGTAATGCTCAGTTGTTGCATATTATTGGCAATGAATCTCGTAGTTTTTGTTTGGTACATGATGATCAATATTTGTCTGACACTGACAGCAAGCACATTGAAGATTTAGGTAAGTAATAGTTTTAAACTTTTACAAGCTTTTGTTGGTTGGGGCCATTCCATTTAATGTACACCACCCCCCTATGGACGAGGTCCATTTTGAACAATAAAATTTGAACCCCTAAGGAAAAAAAAGATCAAAGTGCCCACACAAACACCCGCCCCCCCAGAAATTTTTGCTTTACCCCTCAGAAAAAATGCAAAGATCAAAGGATGCCGATGCACACAACCCCTCAGAAATGGCTTTTTCAACCCCCCTCAGAAATTCTCGTCCATAGGGGGGTGCATACATTAAATGGAATGGCCCTTGGGATGCAACTACCTCGAAAATATAGGGAGAATTTCGAGCAAAGGCCCTTTGTTTGGAGTAATTACTAGCCAGGGTCGTAGTGATGGGAGATACCAGGATTTTTAATTTGATACCGATACTTTTAAGATCGGTATCGGCCGATACCGATACCTATTTCGATACCAAAATGAACACAAAATTTCAATTTTCGATACCGGAAGTGAGTACTTAAATTGCTAGTATCGGCCACTTGCAATACCTGCCGGTTAACGGAAAAACATTTTACATTACTATATATGTAACCTAAATAAAGCTATATGTAAACCAAAAGCCCGAAACGTAATAAATATTTTCTATACATGACTTGGCGCACCACATTTGGAATATTAAGAGTTATTTTAGTGGTTCATTAAGTCTTATTCAACCAAGAAGTGAAATTAAACAAGTTGTTTAAAAAAGTGTGCAAATATCGAACGATACCACGTCGGTAATCGATACCGATACCACTGTTTGTGGTATCGAATACCGAGTACTCGGTATCGCCAATCACTACAGGGTCGGGAAAATTACATGAGCTTTGATACTATGTAATGGCCTGTTTATATGGAAGCCGGATTGGTCCGTTTACAAGACAGTATAGAGAGACAGCCCAGTAAGCGAGATGAATTTCTCTTGTGTTTATATGAGAAAATTTCATTGCGCTTGCTGGGACAAATTTGATATGGTTTTGACAGTTGGAAAACCAGATAAACACACAATAATTTTTACTATAAAAATAACTACACACATAGATCTTGCTTACTTGGCTGTCTTGCTTAGCAGGCTAGCCCTGCATTTGGTCAAAACAAAGTATATAAAACAAAAAATGTAAATCACATTGCAGAATACATTATACAATATATCTCATCAACTGGTTTAATAGTCCCTTAGGGGTAGCAGTAGTGGAATAAGTCAAATGTGAACCTCTCAAAAGTGCCAATTAATGTTCAGGCCAGGGGTTTCAGGTGCAGGGTGTTAGCTACAGTCAAAAATTCCATGTTAAACACCGTTTTCCCAATTACCTTGAGGTCGCAATTTCCCAATTTGGGTCAGCCAAAAAATAGTTATAGAAATTCAATGTTGTTAATACGCCATTAAAAACATGTTTATATTAACTACATTTGCTCAAAATTACTCCCAAAATGTGGGAAATGCCATTTCAAAGACACAAAAATTTTAAAAATCGAGAGGGCAACCGCATGCCACCAGACCCACAAAGAAATGCCCTACTTCAGTCTAAAATAAATTTCCCAATTTCAGGTAAACACAGATTTTTTTTTACTTCTGGCTAACACCCTGAGGTGCCATAATAGTCATATTTATTAACCATTTTATGTTTCATGTTTCGCTCGCTACTCTGGTTTAAATAAATGATTACAAAGCCCAGTCGAATTGTAATCAAGACCCAACGTTTCGACACTCCAGTCTAGTGTCTTCATCAGGGGTGATCTAAAGATGTAATTGTGGCTTCTTAATTAATACCCAAGGGATGACATCACCTGCCAATGAGATGCATGTATAACTCCTCTGGCAAATAGGCACCGGTCCATCATCCCTATTCAAAGCATGATTACTCATATTTATATGCCACGCTTCTAGGCAAAGTCTTTGACCATAGCGATTGTTTGTGGTAATTACTGTAGAGTTTTCCCACACAATCTTGTGTTTGGTGTGACACACATGTTCTGCTAAAGCTGATTTTCTCTTGTCTAAAGTTGAAACAGCCTTTTGATGTTCTTTTAGACGTGTACCAAACTGGCGTTTAGACTGACCCAAATACTCTTTCTCGCAGTCACCGCATGGTATAGAATATACAGCATGAGTTTTCTGATTTGTTTTAACAGGATCTTTTGGCTTTGCGAAAATATGGCCTAAAGTCAAATAGGGTTTTAAGGCAACCTTAACATTACAATTATTTAATATTTCCTTGATTGGTTCTGTGGGGCCCTGTTAGGGGGGGTGTAGATGTCGGCTGTCGCAGTTTTAAAATCGTCAATGTCGCTTTTTGAAACTTGTCAAATGTCGCCGTCAGAATTTCGCACGCGGAATAGCGCAATCACATGGACAACACGTTTCTTGTATATCGGTCTCATTGTATAACCATCATTGTAGTAACTTGTTAATATTAACAAGTTACGACAAAATGCATTTAAAAAATACTGTGAAAGAATATTCGACATATATATAGACTGTTAATGCTAGCCTCATTACAGAAACTTGAGTAGACTGAATGTCTGAGCCTTCTCTGTGCCAACGTCGTTGTCGCTTTTTAAAATATAGCCCTGTCGCTGTCGAAAATAAATAAAACAGTGTCGCTGTCGCTTTTTCGCCCTTCTTTACCGTCGTTCGTCGGGATTTCAAAACTGCGCTGTCGCCTAAAAATGGGCCCTGTCAGCTGTCACAACTTACCCCTAACAGGGCCCCTTCTGTGACACCTTGAATGTATGGAACTATTGCATGGAACTATTATGTTTTCTAGTATACAGTATTTTATTGTTACTGTTGTTCCTATATTAAACTGCAAAACGACCATTTTTTATGGCAGTCTGTATCTGAGATGGTTTTGTCAGTTATGAGGGATATGTTTGTGTACCTTGTGATCACAATTTGTTGGCACCAGTGTGCGAAAAACTGCAAATTTCAGTTTGACAGTCTTGAACTTCACATGCAGTTACAGTAATATTATTTTCCATTCAGCCATTCAGGTGTGTAGTTTTGGATTAAACACCAGAAATCAACTGTCAAATTATTCAAATGTAAAGGTCACAGACACCCAAATGAAGGTCAATGCAGCAAAATATAGGAAATATCATAATTGTTTATTATACAAATAATGATTGTTTATGAGTGCAATGGTAAGAATATTTTCATGAGGTGAAAGATGGAATATGTACCATTCAACGAGGCGACAGCCGAGTTTAATGGAACATTCCATCTTTCACCGAATGAAAATATTCTTACCATTGCACGAATAAAAACATTCATTATTTGTTTTATATAACTTTCCTTCGCCTTCCCGTTATTCTCCGCGCGCCCATCAAAGAATTTTTTCTCGTTTTCCTCTCTCCCCCCCCCCCCCCCCCCCCTTTGAAAGCAACTGGGAACGAGGCAGGTACAATTGCACTCGCAAGAGTGCAATGGAACGTATTCCATTGCACTTTTGGAAAATGGAATTTTCTGTTCAATATCACGTGACCATAAACAGCCAATTAAACGATCAGAATTCAATAAGGTATTATATAAATGCAAATGTTTCATGCTGATTTGGAATTTTAACCCAGACTTGTTCATTTTAGAGCTCCATACCGCAGGGTCTTAGCTAGAGGGCCACGTTGGCCATGTAGTCGCGGCCAAAAATGGAAAAACACGGCTAGATAAAATGAACGCGGCTTCATTATTTAAAGGCCGTGTAGGTTCATAAAATAAGATGGTGCTACTTACAACAGACATAATTTCTTTCTATATTTACGTCATAAGAAAGTTTGTAAAATCTATTGTTGTTGTTGAAATTGGCAAAAGTGATCCGTGATGTTTTAATGTTTTGATGGATAATGGGAACCGTATGGTGTTAAAATGGATTTAAATACCCCCAAGAGTTGCTGAAATAACTTAATATTTTAATGTGTCAGTGTATTTGGTTGCAAAGCATAGAACAACCGCAGGCATTTCCCGTTGTTGTAGAACCGTGAATTTGGAATATATATATGGCTATTCAAGGTAATTGACATGTGCACACCCTGGTCATTTAGAAACACGCCCATGATCTAAAATCCTACCTAAGACCCTGGCTCCATATTAAGTATACTTATGATTGGGATTTTACTGAGAATACGATCTTGATCTAAACTTGTAATATACCCGGCATACACTTTGGCAGATGCACACAGGCCACACATTTAAGTTCACATCCCCCAATCCAGATATCGCTAGTTACGTCCCTGCATAAAGGGGAGAGTACTGCAGGCAATATAAATACCTGTATGAAAATATCCTGGGAACATTTACCCAAGATTAAGTACTCAGCCTAGAATTTTAGGAATTTTATGCCACTATATTGAGCCACAATTGTTAAGTATAATATTTTCATGCATGCTATTCTGGTATCTCCCCCGGCCTGGACCTGATCAATAATTATATTATCTAAGTTCTTTGTTAGTTTGCATGGCGATAAAACATATAATAGTTTTGTTTGTGGAAACACCACGTAAATTTATTACTGCAAATTACGTAGTTATAATTTATTAATTATTAAATAGAGAATATTACATGGGTGCGCGGAAATACCAGATTTATTTCGAGTGTTGAAAAGTGACATTTTCTGGCCAATAAACACGCTGTACTGGCTGGCTGCTTCGCCTTCTGGCCAGTAAACTGCATATTCTTGCACAAAAAACGAGGACACGTTGCACCTCTAAGTGGCCTACTGGGGGCGGTTGTACGAAGGCCGGATAGCGCAAAGCTTTCAAGCTTTGTTAAATAAGTCGTTGATTGGTATAACTCGTATTAAAATTTAGTATTTATAAGTTAAATGTTTTTTTATACTTCTTGTGTCGTCTATATCCGTAGTTTCATAGTTTTGCAAAGGTCGAAAAATCACTTTCCAGTGGATAGCGCTATCCGACCTTCGTACAACCGGCCCCAGATCTTTATTCTGTGTCAGAAGTAAGTGGCCTTTTTTAAATGGTGGGTTGCTGTCAAAACGAAGATGATTGATTGCTATCAAAACAAAGATGGCTGACACACGTACCGTGAGTCAGCCATCATTGTTTTGACAACAACCAATATAGCGAGACAGAAAACGATATCAGTGACGATGTCGTTTTTATGTCAACCTGTTAAAGGCACAAGTATGTGATAAAATAAATTATGAATAAAGCTTGTCAAACTATTCGTGTTTCCTAAAGATGCAGAGGAAAGCAGCATCCAAAACGAAGGGATGTCATTAAAAGTTGCATTCAGCTCAATCTACCGGACCTCATCAAATTCTGTCACTCCGGATGCTATGGACAAACCAAGATCTGCGCGGAGAAGTCTTTCATTTAAATCTAGGAAACCTCAAGACTCAAGTCTAGGTGCTAGCCAAGCTCAATGGAGCACTAAAGATGATCTGATATGTCTTGGAACAAGAAGACTTGGTTCCGCGAAGCACAGATACTTACAGGTAAATCAGTTAAGTATAGTATACATCTCAGTGGTACAAATAGATCATTTTCACATGACGTCACAGAGAACCCTAGTTATTTATCGTTATACCTTTAGTGTGGTTATAATTCAACCAGGAAGTAGGGTTGTAGCTAAACGACGTGTTACTGCTGAAAAGGATTGATTGTTTGATATGTAAAGCATTGTAGGATCATAAAATAGTTTGTTGCTAGTACTTAACATGCATTATTGACAGAATTTGCTCGAATTTATGTCATAAAATAAAACAATTGGTAAAGGAAAAAAAATTGGTAAAGTGCTCCGTGATATTTTTGTGTTACACGGCAAACTTACTGCATGGTGTCAAAATATAACTTTAGAATTTAGATGCCGCAAGAGTTTCTATATATTACTCAATGTATAATAACAGTATGAAGCATATGTTGGCCATGTATTTAGTCGAATCACATAAGACAACTAAAGGCATAGTTTGGAGAACAAAACTGAAAATGTGAGTTTGGCTGTTGTGAGTAATTGGCAGGCACACTCCCAAAGTTTTAAATCCTAGTTGGTACCCTGCTACGAAGTCCCGGTCAAATATAACCAGATTCCTGGTTACATAATCATAATAATAATAGTGGGATTTATTTGCACGTTCAATAGCGGATTGACTAAATTACAACATGTCTATCAGCATTAAAATTATTTACAAAATTATTTACATCAACTACCCCGCTGTGTGTATTTAAAATTACCTTATATATATTTATATGTGCGGTAATATATGATTATGGTAAACGTTCTATCTATCCAATTTAAAATTGTACTCATTAATTGCATAAACTAAAGGACTATTTCTAAATCGCTCAGTTTTACAAAAGAAGTTATACAATTTATCTCCATTTGCTCTGGTATTTATTTCTCTTGTTCCAATCACCTTCTTTGGTAATAGTCCATGAAGTCCGTGCGATGGTTCCAACATATCCTCAATCAGGGAAGCGCATAGTTTTTTCCTGCGTCCTTCTAATGTCGGTATATAGATTACTTTGGATTAACGGAAGTTCATAGTGACCATGCATGGCCTGGATAAATTTTTCTCAGGGCATGTTTTTGAATTCTTTCTATCTTTTTCTTGACAGACTATGATATAGGAAGCGTGATAATAAAAATAATCTGCATGGACATTTTATCTGCAGTATTAAGTTAACCCAAATAGCATAGGATAAATATCAGGATTTTGGCAGTGGTGGATCCAGCAAAGGTTTTTAAGGGGGTGCTGGGCGAGTAGCCAAACACAACGTACCCAGCATCTACTAGTTTCGTGCATCACCACCACAGCTACCAGTAAGGACCATGAAAGCAATTATTATATCTTATTGGATTCTTCTGAGCCCAATATGGCAAAATATTAAGTCGAGACTTCAATATTGGGCGAGACCGAAGGTCGAGCCTAATATTGAAGTCGAGACTTAATATTTTGCCATATTGGGCGAAGATGAATCCAATAGGAGTTTTATTATATCGAACAAAACACTTCTATAACAAAAATTGTCAATAAGCGATAAAATAAATACAACGAGTCTAATACAGCGACAACATTACTACATATATCGGCGGCGAATTTGCTTATTAAAATAACTAAACAAAAAGTTAATAAACCTGTTTTTACAAATATGTGTGCATAAATAAACTCATTTCCATGTATGTTTAAAGGAAATGTGACCTAATTTTAACGAAAAAGATAATATTACTAACTTTTAGGCTGTTGCAAATAAATAAATTTCGCGAAGACAAGTTTTCCCGCGCTTTTATAATTTTAAACAAAACTGGTAGAAAAAACTGTATTAATGTCCCAAATTCTTTTCATTATTCTGCCATATCGTTTGTCGTATGTTTGAAATTGACAAAACATCTGAAAAGGGTTGAAAAACCATGAAAAAAGCCACAATTCGCAACTATCCAATAGGTTCCTGTCCAATATCGTAAAATATTGGATCGGCACGTGACCCTCTCAACGATTACTGATTGGTTAAGTGCGCGTGAGTGTATAATAAATGCGTTTAGTTTGCCAAACTAACCAAAATATATGCGTACTAGGTCAGCGAGAGGCAGTGGTGGTGGATGCCAATTCCAAACCTCGCTATTATTAAAAACAGCAAGAGATTGGAGTAGCAAGACTAATCATATATCCAAATTTTCATGCCAGAAGCTAAGTGGTACAAGTCGCTTGCTTTTAGCCGATCCTTGTAGTTTTACAATCGAATGGTTGGTTTAAGATGAACTTTGTTGCACGACGCTGTACTCGTTCCACTTCCTTGATTAATAGTCTGAGGCGCCCAAATCTGGGTGGCGTAGCCAAGGTGTGGTAGTACAATTGCTATAAGAACAGACATCTTCTTGTTCTACGATTTCTTATTTCCTTTGACGATCTTGTGAGAAAACCCAAAAGTTTATTTGTTTCTGAGCTCTGTTCAACAACTTGCGCATGCGTTGTTCCAGGTCAATTCACTCGATACCCATACACCAAGATCCTTTTCTTGGTTCACAGCAGTGAGTAGTGAATCGTTAAAAGCGTGAGTAGTGAATCACTATAAATCTGAATGTAAATCCCCGATTTTGTGAAAGAGAAAATGGAAATTTTCCCCATTTGAATATTTCATTGCTTTTTAATTCTTATTTTCATTATCAAATACTTATAATGTTAGACGTTTGCAGCAAAATTAAGAATTCTTAGACGGATAACAAACTTCGAATATATCAAACATTTTTGCCCTCCCCCCTTGCACCCATGTTGACCAAGGCCAACAGGGGTGCACACCCCCTTCAAATCCACCACTGAATTTTAGGCTAAACTCGATATACACCAACTAATTGTAGAAGGGTTTGTACATTTGAAGTTTCTATCTCCAAAACCCTTCTAAACGATTAACCCAAATGGTGTTATTTCTACCGGGTGTCCCAAAAAAAACTGGGCACTGTTTGATTTCATGTAACGTAAAAGCTATAAAAGCTATCGCAATGACATAAAGATCATTGCATTCAGAAAGGCCTAACTTTCTGCGCTATCGATGTTTGAACGTTGAACTATAATTAACAAATATAAAACATTTTCCGTGTTGATATACAGTTATATCAACACGAGTGGAAATTGGGAAACCGAGAAATTGTGTGGAAACACGACGCCCGAAGGGCGGAGTGTTTTCACGCAATTTCGAGTTTTCCCAACTTCCACGAGTGTTGATATAACGATATATCAACACGGAAAAATTGTTTTATATTTGTTTTATAATATAGCAATGTCAAAAGCCCGAAGAATAAGAAAAAATTCCGCGTTTACAAGCGGCGGAAAATTTCCCGTGTTGACATGGAGTTATATCAACATGGCTCTTAGCCAATCAGCGTTCAGAATTTACAAATGCTATATTATAAATCAAAATCTAAGTTAGTCTTTTCTGAATGCAATGATTTTTAGTGCATTGCGATAGCTTTTATAGCTTTTACATTACATGAAATCAAACAGTGTCCAGTTTTTTTGGGGAAACTCGGCAGGATAGCGCTATCCACCGGACTGTGATTTTTTCATCCGTTGTAAAATGCTTGAAAAGGTATAAAACTACGAAATTATAGATCCCACAATTAATAATCCGGTGCATGCCTGGATGGCGCTTCTGGCCATCGTACAACCTACCCCAGAAAATTTTAAGCAGAGTGTTTTATATAGCGTTTGTAACTTCGATCTTTTTAGAGCTGGACCAATGAGGAAATAACAGATGACAATGAATTATACGATGATGATTATATTTCGGTAGAACCTTCAAGTGTTACCGATCTACAACTCTCGTCATCGTGTCTCTTACTACAACACCATAAAGACTTCATACGCTGTCTTCCCGTGCATCTCTCTAAGTTTGTTCTAAGTTACTTAGATAAAGCAAGCTTGGTGAACTGTTTATGCATTAGTAAACATTGGAGGATGTTGTGCGAGGAAGTTCAGCAAGATGTCTTTGTCCATCAGATTATGATGGAAGAAGTTATGATGATGCAGGTGGGTTTATGTTCACAGCGGT